GTATATACACACAAGAAAAAGCAAGACTGTACATAATACCCATACAAACGTAATAACGAACGGCCATGTTTGCGGAGGCGTGGCCACGAGAGGCTCCCGCCGGGGGTTGCCCCGGCGACCGGCCTCGTCGTCGGGATGATATCGACCGGTTGCGAGGCCCCACGAAGGGAGGGCGCGTGTCCGGGGGAGCCTTCTCCATTCCGGGAGGGAAAATGTTATCGCTGCTTTGTGGTAGCTAAGATAGCAACTGCCGGCGCTAGGCTGTCCCCCTCTTCCTCGGGGTGCGCGCCCGCGCAAAACGGGATATACCGAGTCCTTCGAGCCGCTCCTCTCGTACACATACACACCGACGCACTCTATACGTACCGCTACTGCTGTTGCAGATGGACCAACGGAAGGAGGCTCATCCGTTTTATCCGCACGCGCCTACATGTATGGACGTGCTTATACCTGTACCGCCTCTGATGGGTTGCTTTGTACGTATACGTGGAAAAGCTCTTGAGACGATATGGAATATATATATATATAAACATCGGCATCCTCGTCTTTTTGAGATGTATACATGTATATGGACGCGGAGAGCCTCGATTGTGCCGTTGGTGGGGTGGGGGAGGATGAGAATAAGGACACATCTCTAACTCGTTGGACCGCGCGCAGTACATATTATATACACATACCTTCAGCAGGAGGGAGGAGGAGGAGGTGGTGGTGGTGTATCGTCGACCGAGAAAGGGAGAGCGGAGGAATTTCCAGAATGCGTGTGTACCACCGGGTGATATTAGATTCTCGGGCAAAGTTTTCGCACGCCCGGCACGAGAGCCGGAGAGCTGGGATAACCAACCCCCCTGCCCTTATCCTCTCTTTCCTTTTTCTTGCGAGTTCTATACAATATGTATATGCACGTTGTGATTATACTTACTATTATACGTATGCACACCAAACACATCGCGTGGTATTGTTCTCCAAGTAGCGGGTGTACTTGCGCGTCCTTATTCGTCCCTCATTGCGTGCACTTGGGTAAATTGTTTCTCCATCGCACCCCCTCGAGGCTCCACGGGGGATGCTGATTATTGAGTTCTCGATGGAATTTTTTACCAATGCTCTTCTCCATCTGTCTCCGAGCGACTGTATACACCTATAGAGGTGATCGAGAAAATGCTCGGATGATGATGTACATTATCCTTTGCGTTTGCGAGACCATATATAATACATACATACGGGGCGAGGCATTGATTTCCCCCCCCCCTCCCATCGAGGACCTCTTGCTACACCGACCCTCACTTCGTTTCGCGTCGGTTTACGTGGGAGCTTCGGCATCCAGAGTCTCTGTGTGTACATGTATACAAGTGTGGAGCCCGTTTCATCTATGGTCTCTCTCTTTCTCGTTCTCTGCAGCGCGTGCAGTCTCTCTTGGCGTAATGGCCATAGGCGCCATGTTATTTTTGGACCGCAATTAATTTTCCCTTTGTTGAGTTAACGTGCCTCTTCTTTTTTTTCCTCCCTCTCTTGTCTACTGTATTTCTATGTACTCCCAGTCCCCGCGTGTCTCTGTACCGCGAAGCTTTCTCCGAGTTGGTTTTGCATCGTCAGGCACTCATTTTTTTTTTTTTTTTTTTTCGTGCGAGTAAAATTTTTTTTGTTTTGGGCTTTGGGTTTTAGTTACGTAACCGTTTGCAATACGATTTTTGGGAAAGGCAACGTGACAACGCACGGCTTCGCGTGGCAAAATCGCGTAGGTGGAGTCGGTATGCGAGTCATGCATTTGTTGTCTCATTGCTTCCTTGCCAGTGAATCTCTTTCGCCCGGTTCGTCTTGAATAGCTCGGGAAAGGACCCCCTTACGTGGCCCAAGAACCCTAGGAATTCTAATACCTATACGCCGCGTGGCTTGATTGTCGGTACCCAATAGGTGCAATCGTCATCGAAAGATCAAAGTATGTACATGTCGATTGTTCCATCATGAAGTAAGGCACGATACTTCAGGATGTAATTTTTTTTTTTTTTTTTTTTTTCTTCGTGATAATGTAAACACTTTATGAAAAACATGATTATTTTTACATTTAATACTCCTCAAAGTGTTGAAACAAGGATAATAGCAGGCTAAATTGAAAAAAAAATAAAAAATAACAATAATAAAAGCATACTTTTCAGGCATCAGTTATATGCTGATGATATGTATCAAACTCACGTTCAGCTGTACTAAAATAAAGGTTTGTAAATAAATGGCTATTCAAAGATGAAAAAAAAATGTATAAATTTTTTTACATTACTGTATACGTATCAAGAAAATTTTTTTTTACAAATGTCCAACGAACTTTTTCTTTTTTCTTATGTATTTTCCGTTTACAAGTGATTTTCCATAGCATTTATTACGTTTTGAATCCAAACTACGCTGATTGAGCTACGGCACAACGCATGGAACTTCATTGAACTTCCGGTGGTCATCACGATTCAACTGTATTACATGATTGCAGAAAAAAATCTGAAAATCAATTCCGAAACAAAGTACACTTTGGAAATCGTCCAGACAAAACGATCGCCCAACTCACGGTAACATCAAACGTGATACCTCGACGATATAATTAAACGGAAAGTTTACCAATGAGAAGCACGAACAAACGAACCGTAATAAGCAGTACAAGTGCGCCGCTGAGCGCCTCCTCGTTCGTCTATACTCATGATGCAATTTGTCGCGAGAGAAAAGTAAAGAGCACGCGCCTCTCAGTGTAGTGTACGGCAACAACCATTTTTATATGCATACAGTGATGTCCCTTCAATCAACGGCGTGTCGTCAAGTGTGTCCGAATTACACGTATACAAGTGCGAGCACGGAATGCAATATACTTACATCGTGTAGGCCCGAGGGGAGGTGGGCGCTTACATATATATATACAGGGAGGCACGAGAGGTCGCGTGGCCGGCACGCGCCGCTAAGTGTTTGTTTCGGTTTGTATTGTCACCACGGATATGAGCCCACCAGCGCTCTCCTTCGAAGGCCCGCGCCAAGCCTTCCTCGACTCCCATCCCCCCCTTGCATTTACATTATTTCCTGCGAGGGCAAACAAGGAGAGTGTGCAGCCAAACGGAACGAACGGGCTCCATCTCCGATGTGCACGGAGGTGGCGTGTCGGTGTGGCGATCATGGGAACCAACACTGCCGGTTGACGCCGGCCGGCCGGCATTGTCGCTGATGCCAAAGGCGACACGGGACGACGCTGCCAGCCCTAATCTTTCTCATTATCGTATTCAACGTCAAGTACTGCACGGCGTGTGCAATGATATATACGTGGGGTTGAGGGAACGGGGGCTTCAAAGTGTCTTACAACGACGTTGTAACGTTGATGGGTAAACATCATACGTGCCAAAATTAAACGCGCCGTGTAATCCTCGCTCGTTTGTTTGAGCTCGCTCTTGGGGACAGCGGAAAATAATATATTGTACGTGGAATCGAGCTCTTCTTTGTACCCCATCACGCGTGCCAATGCAACGATTGTTTCACGAGTGTAAAATCGAAATTTTATCGCAAAGTAGTTTATTTTTTTTTTTTTTTTTTTTTAGATAATTTGGTCAAAGTATTCGAGAGAATTCCCTACGCGACGACATCCCTCATCAGCAAACATTTTCACGAGCGCGCGGAGAGATTGGAAAAGCGAGGATGATACAAGACAAGAGACGGGGTATACGTACGTATGTATATATGGATGAGGATGCCAAGTGCGACGCCAGCAGTACGCGCTGTAGCGAAAGATACGAGGTTACAAGAGCCTTATTGCTATACATACAAGGAGAATTGGGTGGAGGGGTGAGAAGCTGTTATCTTCATCACGATCGAGGAATGCAATATTCTCACCCTCCCGAGACGCGCTTCCACTGCTATGTATATATATATATATAACATGTATGTATATATGCACGCCTGTAGCGGTAAAAGCGCCTACGTAGAGGGGATTAAAGCGCAATGGGAATCTACTCGTTCCTCCCCTCGGTTGGCGTGGCTGTGTCTGTATCTGCTGACGCTCGCGATGCCGCCCTTCTCTCTCCCGCATTATTTCACCTCCGCGAACTCGTAAGGCCGCCCAGAGTGAGTAAATAAGTTATTACTCCGCGCGAAAACGCTACACGCCATATATACACGTTCTTCCGTGCGCGTATATATATATATACAACGAGACCTTCTTTAAATTAAATTCTTTTCCCGGTTGCCACGGACGGGCTAATGTGCTCGTGGCACAAAGTGCAATCTTGCAATTTTTTTTTTTTTTTTCCATTTTCCACCCACTTATTGTTCTCGAGGCGTTGTCGTTGTCGAGGATGCATGAAGGGAATGTATTGACGAATGCAATCGAGACTTATACTGAAGTATATTTTATTATCGTGTATTTATAATATATTTGTATGTCATATTTATTATAAATCTATCCCTTTCGACACATTCATAGTTGTTTTTTTATCAGCTACAGGAATGAGTTTCGCGTACCCACGAGGTACAAATTTTTTCTTTTCATATACATATATATATTTATATATTCATCGATCTATTTCCGTGTTACAATACGTGATTATTATTTATTTTTTGCTCTTTCATTTGTTCAACTGCACCTCGGAGTGTACCTACACAACCACGATTTGGTTGGTAAATTTTTTCTCTCTCTCTCTCTCTCTTTGGAAATTTATTCCTTTTCTTTACAATAAAGACTCGGGACCATCGACGCAAGCAAAATATCCATGCGCGTACGTCGTCTATTTGTTTGACTCATAATCGCACCTTCTTTCGACGGACAGACTTCATAAAGCTCCTCTTATCGCTTTTCACACTCGTTAAATCTAAAACATATCGCACGGCGCGCTGTTACGACTTAAACTATCTTAAAACGACGAACTCTAGACAATTTATGTATATATATATATATACCATATACACATTGATGCACAATCATCTGGTTTTTTCTTTTCATTCAAATATCGTACAACTCTGTATTTTTGTTTTTTTGTTTTTTTTTGTTTTTTTTTTTTTTGTCAACGCGAAACGTGTTTTCACTATTTACCAATAATTTTTTCAACACGACGTCGAGGAAAACTTGCAATTTGCGCTATTGTTTGACAACGATAACGATACCGATTGTAAATCATACGCGTCACACCACGTGTGAAAATCAAGCGGAAAAGTAATCGTTTCAACCAATATTTAAACTATGCTTTGTGTTTTCATTTTTAGCGTATCATAATGTACAAACTCGATCATTCCACAAATCGACGCAAACGCGCATCCTGAGATCAACGTGACACCACACACGGTGCGAATTAATAAACCCAAAAAACAATTTAAACATTTGTCTAATAATACTATATTATATTATCTTTTTCTTTCCCCTATGCGTTACCTCGTGAAACCTAATTCTACACTTTGACTTGCATATGTATTATGTACACTACAGTACACGCGTTCTCGCTTCGATGTTACCATCGAATACAATGTAAGTACAACACGCGCAATGTGTTGGAGAAAAAAAAAAAAAAAATTGCTACTGGAATCGTCGAGTGCTCAGCACACATTGGAACAATAGAGCTATTGTGTATTTACAATGCTTCTACATGTATATATATGTACTAATCCGTCAGAGCTCTGCATCGCAAAAAAAAAAAAAACGAAAAAGAAATTTGTTTTCGTTTGATTGACTTTGGTACTCGAGAGTTCAATAAAACGCGATCAATGGCTACTCTGGGTGATTTTAATTCCAGAAATAGTTTTAGTACAGACATAATAAATTTATACAATTTTTACATCACTTTAGAAAAGACGGGGTAGTACTTGAAAATTGTATATCCAAAGAGATTAAAATACACAATAAAACATCGCGAACTTGGACGCAAAAGTTAATTTTCCGAGATGCAGAGGCTCGACAGTTGCAACATAAAATCTACAACAAATACCAAAGACGCATTCATCAATCAGCAAGATCCGATTCATGTACACTAAAAAAAAAAAAATAAACTACAACGCACGACCCGACACAACTATACATCGCAATATCACGGCGTCCAACAATTTGGGAAACCCCCGGCGAATCGTCCGGGAAATTCCATCGGGATAACTTGTATAGATGTGCAAACGTTCTCGCACCAATAATCGACAAAACGCACAAAAAGTTGAATTATGGTCCCACATCTCGCGGGGGTTATTGGGGGGGGGGGGGGAGGAGGGAAATTATCTTTGATTACTCGGTATACATATAATTATTGCACTTTCAATCGAGGCCGTCGACTATCTCACCCACACAAAAACGCATATACATGTAGTAATAGTAATGATGATGATAATAATAATAATAATAATAATAATGACAATGAGAATCTTTGGTCTGCTCGGCGTATATGCATGTATGGATGCACTCCTTAGACGAGCGGGGAAAAGGCCGAGGCCTGGCTCCTGATCTCCCGGTGCTCCGACGGACTGAGGTCCAACAGGCCCCCCATGGCCTGCTCCGCCGCGTAGGTACTGCACGAGCTCGCCTGCTTGCCGATCAGCGCGTCGATGCTGAAGCTGCGCCTCTTCTCCCCGGAGCTCCCCGATTGTCCCGGCAAACCGTTCGCACCCAACGCTACCGTGGCCGGGGCGCCCTTACCACCGAGCGGCTGCCTCGGGGTGGCGGGGGGCGCGCTTATCGGCACCGGCTTGTACAAAGGAGCCTGCACCGACTGCTGCTGTTGGCTGGCCTCGAGGAAACCCCGCAGCTTGAGCGCCTCCAGCGCCGAGGACGGAAAGTCCAGTAGGGGCAAGGCCCCGGTCGCCCCCTGGGGACCCCCGGCAGCCGCCGCCGCCGCAGCCGCCAAGTACGCCCCGGCGGGGTACGGCATCACCCCGTGGGGATGGTGGTGGTGGTGGTGGTGGTGGGGATGGCAGGGCCCCCTATCTCCCACTGCCCCACCACCGCAGATGGCGAAGGTCGCCATGATCGCCCGGTCACGGAGAACGTAGTGCGGGGGCGGCCTCTTGTAGCGCTTGCGCCGACGCAGGAAGCTCCCGTTGTCGAACATGTCCTCGGCCAGGGGATCCAGGGTCCAGTAGTTGCCCTTGCCCGGGTTGCCCGGCTCCCGCGGTATCTTGATGAAACAGTCGTTCAGCGACAAGTTGTGCCTTATCGAGTTCTGCCACGCGGGAAACTTGTCGTGGTAATAGGGAAACCTCGACATTATGAACTCGCAGATGCCGCTCAGGGTCAACTTCTTCTGGGGCGACTGGAGTATCGCCATCGTTATCAGAGCTATGTACGAGTACGGCGGCTTTATCAGCGACGAGGACAGCTTGTCCGACGAATAACTCCCACTCCCGTTGCTACTGCTGCTGTTGTTGTTGTTGTTGTTGTTGTTGTTGTTGTTGTTGTTGTTGCTAGTATTGCTGCCTTTGGCTTTCTGTGGCTGCTGACTCGCCGACATCATCGAGTAGGTCATCCTCTTGCGGTTGCGATTGCGCGACGAGCTCTTGCCACCAGCACCACCACCGACACCAGTGGCGTGGTACAGGTGGTTGTTGTTGTGGTAGTTGGCGAGCAGCGTCGGACTGGACGGTGCCCGGGGCGACAGGTCCTCGTCGTTCTTGTCGAGGCTGACCGGGTCGACGATCATGCTACTGCCGTCGGAGTCGCGGTCGCTGTCGGCGCCGCAGCCGTCGCACGACGCGTTCGACATCATCATCATCATGCCCTCCATTTCCATGCTCAGCATTTAAAACCCGAAGCGACAAGCCACGCCAAGCACGGGCTCGAAGAACCCCAAAGCTATCGAAGCGACAAGGGAAGTAAGTCTCTCACCTCTTGTTCAAGGGGGGGAGGGAACAATCATCGCGTCGCCAAGTGGATCCGGGTGGCCAACTCCAACCGGGAGAAAACACGATCCAATGGCACTTCCCGCCGATCAAGGCCCGGTGCTTCCGCGACGAGTCGATTACCTCGACAACGGCTCATCGTTCCCCCGCGTCGACCCAACACTTGCCGCGTCCCAACACTTGTGTCTATCTCGCTGCTGCCGTCCCGTCAACTCCTATATCGTCTCGCGCGCTATCTTAGGCCAATAGTTTGGTCTCCACTCCGCGATAACGATACCCCGCCCCCCCCCCCCCCCNCCCCCCGTTCCGTTGTACCTGCGTTTTGCTCGCGGTCAGATGGTACGTATACTGTGTATCTATCGCGACAGACTCCGGACACCGGGGCGAAAACTGTTTTCACTGTTGTTCATCACAATGACAAGGTCCATGGGCACCCTCGCCGCGGCGTGTACTGCACGGCTGCTCGTGACACTTTGATTCTCTCTCTCTCGGCTGGCGCCCCACGCGCCACCACGAGGGGGGCGGGCCACGCACTCGGGGCGGGGATACGGGACGCCACCCCGTGCGTTCCCTTACTACTTGCCAGTCGTGCTGGTGGTGGACACCCCCGCGCAACTGTTTCCAACCGGGGGGTGGGGATGAGCTTGCGTGGGGGGGGCGCGCACGCGGCTGGGAAAAATAGCGCGGTGTGTATTGACAAAGGAGGAGGAGGAGGCGAAATTGTAACACTCGGCGGGTGCGCGCTTAACTTCTTTGTGCCGGGTGTAAGGGATGATTTCGCGCGCCTCTCCGGTGGGTATATGTTTGCGCGGCTTTGGGGTGGCGCGCGACCGCCCTGGAGGGAGCACCGGGTACTCTCTCTCTCTCTCTCTCTCTATCTGGACTGGCCCGACAAATGGGAGCCGTTTGGTGGGTATAATGTCGGCCAAAGAGTGGCTGGTGCTATGTGCCGCGGTGAGGGAAGAATCACGGAAAAATTGACTATTTGAGCGATGAAGGATGCTTTTTATATGTATATATACGTATAGGGGGTGGTGGGTCCGATATGGACGAGCCGCTAGGCTTTTACTTTGATTACGAGCTTTTGTTGTTTGAGCTCGAGTGGATTCTGTGGAATCGGAGCTTGCGGGGAATGTGTTTTTTTTTTTTTTTTTTTTTCTTAGAGCAAGTAGTGTATTTGTGAATGTGAGTATGTAAGAGGAGATACAAATTCTATTGTTAAGTAAGTCAATTTTGTTAAAATTAGCGTTAAAAGGTGTAAAGGGCCAAGTCGAGTGGAACACGTTAATAATTTGAAATTGTTTGCGTGAATATTATGAGAGAGTTGAGTATTACGAGTAAAGTGATGAAAAGAACCTGTTCACGTGGATAATTTGTATATTGTTTTATAACTAAAGTGTATAATCTGACGGCTATAGCTTTGAGTTTACTGGATTATTGTGTCAGCTTATCAGAGTTATTTTAAAATCAATCTAATACAATAATTTTTCGACTTTTACATCATTTTTTTTTTAGATTTTTCAACTTCCGCTCCAACCAAATTTTTTTGAAACAAGAACGTATTTTTTATTCAAAAGTTCTTTGATAAAACGTGACAAAGTATGTTATTGTATTTCTACAGTGTTATACGATCTTTGGAAAATATTTTCTCGATTCTATACTTACAACTCTCTCTTCCAGTACAATTTTTATTGTTACGTGTTGGTTATCAACTGTCAACCTCTTGGAAACGTTTTGTAAACACTTGGACTTGAATACTTTTTCAATATTTTTTTTTTTTCTTTTCTTTTTATTGTAATGCATTATTTTTGGCTGAAAATATTTTTGAAAGAAACAAATTTTATAGATAAAACAAATCAAAAGAAAAAAAAGTATTCGAAAATATATTAAAATTCAATATAATAAACAATATCGATAATTTACCCTATTGCACTTGTCCGGCAGAAAAAATTGATACTCTGTTTTGTGAAAAGTGATGAGTAAAAAAGCAAGTTTTCAGCCAAAATAATGTACTTTTCCTACTCGTGAAAAAAAACTTTCCTTTTTTTGCCCTCAAAAATCCACAAAATAGTTGTGCCCAATCCTGCATCAGTTACTTGTTAATTATACTTTACGATCAAAAATGATTTAAATACACATATGGCACCACTAGTTGGTCCCAACATCAAACGTATTAAAAGTACTTTTTTTTTTCGCTTCGGTTAATTTTTTTCCCATTTCCCTCCGCTAAGTCCATTGCACGAATAATAGTTTAAGGGTCACGAAGCACAGCCCCAAAACTTACACAAAAGCACAGTGCGAAAAAAAAGAAGATAAAGAAATAGACCCACCTCGACCGCCAAAGTACTTAAACGTCTTGAAGTAGTTTTCCGGAAAAGAAGAGAAAATTTCCCGAAAAACGAGGCGTACCCACACATATACATTAGAGAGTCCCTTACGTAGGTCGGAACTGCGAAAAGTGGTAAGAAAAAAAAAAAATAAGGACAGCCTCGAGCGACGCGGGAGAAGTGTATATAACGTACGGGTGGAAACGCGCGAATCTCCGGAGAGATTAAACCGTCCGATTACCCTCGAGGTTGTTCCGGGCTCGGGGCCAAATTTAAATCTCGCTAAGCTCGGCCCATTAGAACCAAGTGCAAATACACTAAACAGTGCATTAAACCCGTGCACGTCGTTTGTGGACACAACAGCTTCCCCCCCAATACACCCCCGTGGGTGTATCATGTGTATGTATACGTATATATATATACATAATGTACAACTTTGGGTGACCGTGTACGTATGTATCGAGAGCACGGCGTGTGCACTTATGGATACACGAAGCCAAGTAGGTACTATCCATTCCCACGGAGATTTTCAGGGACAGAAAGTGTTCTCGCCCATATGCTCCAGAGGGGCTCGTGCGCGTCTCCATACGACCGAGTGCATCCGCTCCCCGTGTGTGTGTGTGTGTGTCCATACGTGTGTACGTATATAACATTATCCGGTGTAAATTACGCGCTCGCTACCTCCGTGTGTGTTTAAGCCCACCCCCCGACCGCTTAACCCCGTACGCGTGAAAAGTAGATCATTGGACGGGACTGTCTTTTTTTTCTCTCTTCCACTCTCTCTTTTTCCAGAGAAACAACATTATTTTTCTTTGAGCTTTGGCGTCACCCTATGATACAGTACGCGCGAGGTTTTTTTTTTCCTGTGTAGAGTTGTCGGAGGGAGTGCACTTTTCTGTTTCTTTGTCGCCTCGACAGCGTTTACTGGCATTTTAATTTCATTGACGGATGGGTTCACTGCAGTTGTGTTTTAGAGAGTAATCTGAAAAGGTGTACCCGTTTGTGTACAATTGTTCATCGGGCTTTTTGCGGTATAAGCGAGTTGGAATAAAAGCTTCTAGATTAAAAAAAAAAAAAAAAAAAAAAAAAAAAGGTATAGTATACGGTATAGCGAGCGACAGCAACATTGACATTGTTGGAAGATCATTAGTATTATCTAATCATTGTACACCGAATTCGGAAAAATCTGGTCTTTTTTTTTTTTTTTTTTTTTTTCTTCGCTCGCAAAACCCGATGCACCTACTCCGTGAGATAAGAAAAGATAATATTTACCGAATCGCATTGTCAATTGCAAAATCGTGTCTATACTTTGTTCGCTATCAATAAGGAACAATTAATCGTTTCGAGATAAAGTAAGCACAATTTATCGGCGATCGATCGAAACGCAATGATAACAATCACGCGTGTGTCGTATATTAGTTGTACAAAAATTTCTTTGCCACGAGTTGGAAAATGGCAGACGCGCGTGAGCCAAAGCACATACATGCAATCGATATAGGAATCGGTAACCTAGTATTAATGTATTTACCAATACGATTTCGCACCACTTTGATCATATTATTTGTTCTTCGCCCCTATGTATATGTAAATAGTCCTAATACCACTCTTGCAGTCTTTGAAAGACTTTGAGGGACTTTTCGAAATCTTTCATTGGAACTTGTCAAGACGCGACTTCAAGTACCAACACGTCGACTGGAATCAATAAAAAAAAAAAAAAAAAAAACCTTATGGATCAACTTTTTAATCAAATTAATTCCAAAAACTAAATTTCCACCCCTTCGATATACCCTTTGCGAAGTTTTATTCAATTATTAAGAAAACACGCGTTCGACAACCCGGAAAATTAACAGCTCGGGACTCGAGACAAGGTTTCGCGTGGCGAGCCGACAAAAACGTTATCATCCACTGTACTCGAAAAGTAATTCAACAGCTGGATCTCACGTGTCGTGAAAGCTGCTAATATAGCGTCGCCCGAAATGTATATACGAGAGAGAGAGAGAGAGGAGAGAAAGAGAGAGGCTGATGTGTATATGAAACGACGGCGAGAACTGCACGCAGACGTTAACCTGTTATGCATTAGTGGCGCATGATAAACGCTGCGGGTGGTGTCGCGGCAGAGTAGCTCAGAAGTAGTGTAGAAATGACGGACAAGGGGTATAGCGGGGGGTAGGGAGGGAGGCGAAAGGGATGAAATAGATCGAGAGGAAGGCTACGCGGGACCAGGAGGGGGAGAGAGCTCAGGACGCGAATAAAACAATTAAGGGGTGCGTCGATGTACACTCGAGCGAGCACAACCCCCCTCCCTTCTCCCCCATAGATTGCGCCCTGTGTGCCCATGACACGCTTGAGCTGTGCAGTTGTGTGTATAGCGTGTAACCATGGGGGCTAACTGTTTCGGGTGTTGGGCTATCGATGCCCGTGGCAATAAGATTTACCTTTTGACAAAATCTGAGAGGACACTTTTTTTTCAAGGCATAGGGGTTTTGTTCCTTTTTTTTTTCTTTTTTTTTTTTTTTTTTTTTCAAGTGTGTTTTGCGTTGAGTCGTTTTACATTCTGGACTACTGCTTTTCTTAACAAATGAGAATGGGTGTTTGCGTGGTTTGTTTAACTATGTATTTCAGCCGAAATAATCTACATGAAAATTATATTCAAATGACGTAAAAATTTTTTGTAGCTAACAATTCAAAATATATTTTCATTCGTTTCTATAATTATACCACAACTTTTTTTTTACTTGCAAATATTTCAATACATATATACTTGTGAATTGAAAAGTATGTTCAATTTATTATATTTATTTGATTATTAGTAAAATTTTAATTGGCTT